TCCATCCACGTTGGACGAGTGGAAGGTTTGACCACTTAAACAACTAGTTAACCTAGGCTACATCCTCAATAGACCTTTCTTTCTCTTTCGGACTGTTTCGTATTAGGGTAGTTTTGTTTTTTTCCTAACAAAGAAAGACATGTTTGATTAATTAAATAATTTCTGTTTTTTATACTTAGCCATGTATATTTATATTAATCTTGATTTTGTTAAAAATAAAATAATATGTTTTTCATCTATAAAAATCTATTTTTCATGAAAAATTAATCTTCCAACAATTTTAACTAAATATATATTTTTAAAATTTATGTTTTTAACCGCAACTAAAACTTTTTTTTAATTCATCTTTAAAAAACTCTAACCGCAAAAACTACTATAATACATATATTTACTAATTTTATGGTGATATCAATTAAAATAATATAAATATGATAAGCATTATTTGTATCCAACAAATGAATTGGGAAAATTAATTCAGAGAGTTGGGTTATTGTGGAAAATTTATATCAATTATAGTTAATGAGAAATGTATAATTAAATTAAATATCTCAGGAGATAAGAATAATTAAACAGTCTTTGCACGTGTTTTGAATCACACGAAAAATTATTCAAATTGTTATAGAAAGATTTGAGATTCAGTCAGTTGTGAGTTTTTAAACAATAAAAATTAACAATGTTGTTTATGAAGAATTCAACAATCTATTAATTTATGATAGTATATGAGATAAATTATTTAAAAGTAACATCGTGTGGAGATAATTTAGGTAACTTATTAATACTTGGTCATCTTTATATTTTTATGGTAGTAAAATATGCAGAAGTTTGGACAAGTGTTAATTTTCTGGTATTTTAGGCTGAGGGGTTTCATCATGGAATTAGTAGCATAAAAATTTTCTTTTAGCCTATTCCTTTCAGGTAAAATATTTTTCACCTACTCAACAATTTTGTCGTAATTGATCTCATCTCAACTCCATGCATGTTGCTAGAACTAGAAGTTGACCTAACTATCTTTTTTATCATGGTATTGTGAGGAACATATGGTTCTCTGTGTGGATACCAATACAAATATTTCTCTATAAAACTTTTTTGTAGAAAATACATTGTTACAACATCTGTATCAAGAAACTTTTTATTTTTACACCTCTTACATGAATATCTAATACCCTCTTTACTAATATTTATTGGATTAAATGGTGCGTAATTCATGAAACCTTAAACCTCATTACAATAATCTATTATCTGCAACCCTTGGGGTGAATCTCTATATATCTATGAACGATCATCTATTATTTATATCAAATCTATATAAAATAATGAAGACAACATATATCAATTAACTATGTTAACTAAATAAATTTGTAAAATATTGATTTAGCTCAGAATTATTTAATATATTTTAATAGTATTCTTAATTCATTATCAATTATCTATATAAATTTAAATTCTACACATTTATTGAAATTTTCAAATCGGAATAAAATTAAAAAATATATAAAAGACCCATTAAATAAGCCATTATTTATTTCATCATAAAATACCTAAGTTAAAAATTCAACATAATTTTCATCAATTTACAAACAAATATAATTTTATAAAATCTAAAACAAACCTAACATGTACAAGTCATAAATCCATACAATAAATTTGCATAAGAAAAAACTATAAAACAATTCTAAAAATGTGCAAAAAAAAATAACATTTTAAAATTGAGTCCAAATAAAAAAAGGTTAGATTTGCTTATTTAAGATGAATAATCTTAAAAAAAATAAATTGAATCAGAACATACATACTGACAAACTAAGCACTATAGTGTGGTTGAATTTGTTTTAGGAGTTGCATTCTATTGAGATTGGTGAGAGGGGGGCTATTTGTTGCAAAAACAATGCATAAGGAAGAAGGAGAAATAGGGAAGGGGAAGAGGAGAGTTAATCGTCAGGTCATAAATTAAATATTATTAACGAAATTATTTTGTAAGTAACTTTGTTGGTCATTTTGTTGGTAAAAATATCACATTACCATACGATTTGTTTTTTTTGAATCCCATTATAATAACCTTAGTATATACCTAGAAAATTTTTTCATTAGTATATTTATGAATGTACTTTACTGTCGAGTTACTTGTGTTGGTAATGTTGTTTGTAAAAGTTACACATCATTATATTGTTTAGTTTTTTTTTCCATTCCTTATTTTTTCCACTCCAATTCTCTCGATATATATTGAGGTAATTTTTATGTTGATGTTTATTGATGGATACATAGATAGAAAATTCTATTGGTAAAAGTCATCACAATATACCGATGGAAAAATTTCATCGGTGTTTCTATTTGTACTTGTCAATTTATTGGTAGTATTAATGGATAAATTTAAATCTATCAATAATTATGTTAGTAAAAATAATATATCATTGTATTTCTTGACTTGTATTTCATTTATTTTATTTCACTGTAATTTTTTTGGTATATACTAAGAAAATATTTTTGTTGATGTTTATTGATGGTTACTGTGAGGGTATATATATTCAGTCAGAAAAATTTATCACAATCTACTAACAAAAATATTTTATCAACGTGTTCATTTATATTTATCAATTTTCTGATAATAATGTTATTTGAATTCGAGATGATATATGATTGATACTACTAACTAACAAAAGATTTAGGCAGGCAATCGACATGTGCCTTTGAAAATAAAAATCTAATAATAATTGTAAATTTATATTTACACATATATTTGAAGACTTTAGAAAATTATGATTTACCAAAACATATATATTATATAACATCGGGGAATAAATTTATCTTCATTGAGATTTTAAAAATCATCAAAGAAAAAAAAATCATCATATTCACGGTATCTAACGAAGTAAAAAGACATCGTTCGAGGGTCAAAATTACGAACATAATCTCCAATATTAGAGAAAGTGGTATGCACAGATCATATTTTTTGGCTGCAAAATTATATATGATGAGATGCAGAATCCCATATGATCACACGCCCAAGTCCTTAATGAGAGAAGTTAGGGCAACCAAGAGGTTGTCACAAGAAATACCAAAAGGAACTGATAGACTAGAAGGATTTTATAACAAAGAAAAACTATACCAGAATATGATAAAGAACAGAAAGCTACTTAAAACACATGCATGCATTCAAAGAGGGGGAGACAGCTGGACACACTTGATCACAAACACATTCCACAAGATCAAATTAAATATTAGAGTAAGATAGAGCGTTCACAAATACGTGTTTATATTTTATCTAAAATGATTCATGCTAAATGTGAAATTTACTGATTGTATTTAATTCGTCTTTTCTTTTTTAATTTGGGTTAAGGATAGGACACGTTATTTTACAGAATTATAATGATTTGTTGAGATAAGCACCTCTTGGACATGAAAAGGCCTGCTTGTGTGCTGCGCTGGGTTCTGAAAATCACCATATTTGTGGCAGAATTGGTTGGAATATGACTTTGGATTACTTTCAAATACAGCGTCGGTGGATGACTGGCTTTGGATCTCTCATTTTTGGGTCCTAAAAGGAGCAGTTGATGGAGAATCAGTAATCAAATTCAATAAATTAATAAATAAACTAAATCTTTGTAGGGTAAGAGATATATATATATATATATACCAATAAAATATTTTAATTTTTCAAACTTCCAGCGATGTCTGATAAATCATTGATGTTTGTGCTGTGAAGTTCCTTGTTGCATGGACTTCCAGAATTCTCAACTCAACCTTGTCCGTCACCTAATTTTACCCAGGCGGCGGGCAGCCGCCACACATGAACGCGAGCACCGATGAACGACCATTGACTGTCAAATTCTTCAATTACTTTTCACGGGCATCTGTTCTTTTCAAAACTATTTACTTCATCATGTAAAGCCGAAGGAGTCCTTATAAAAGCAAGTGGGAGTGTCATGACATTTTTCTTTTCTTTTTTTTCTTCAACTTTTTGTTCATAGCTAGTTTTAGTCAAGAGTTGTTTTTGTATTTGTTAAGGCCTAGCTAGCTCGTCGCAATCTCTACTTTTAAAATGTTTTTCAAATTACTTTTTACTAGAATAAATTAATATATTTTAGAGGTTTTTTAATAGTTTTAATGTGTTAATTTTTTTTAAAAAAATTATTTGAATGAATTCTTAATTGAAAAATACTTTTATAAAAATAAATTATTTTAATTCTTATGAGAGGCTTCATGTTACATGCACAACAACCATGAATATTTAATGATTAATTCATTGCCATGCAACCTATAACCAGGGAATTAACATGACGTGATCTCGATTTTTGGATAGAAAACTTAATTAATTATGTACTTCTATCAATTTATCCACACAAATTCTTTTTTAAAAAAAAAATAAAACAAGAGAAATGAATTGAACCCAATTCGTCACTTATCGTATCTTAAGCAGCTTGAAGCCTTAAACTTGTAATTTCTTCATAAAAGCGGGAAATATGACCACCAAACTATGAAATCTTTTATAATTAATTAAATCCGGTAGAATATATGTTTGGTATTGAATGTATTTTTAAAAATATTTTTTATTTTAAAATATAGTAAAAAAAATCTTAATTTTTAACATTAATACATTAAAATTATCTAAAAATATTTAAAAATATCAATTTATTTTTTTAAAATAAAACATTTTTTTTTAAATTATCTAAAACTAAAAAGTTACCACACTAGAAAAAAAAGTCGTAAAAGTAAAAGTTAGGACAAGAATCGACCCAATACAAAGAAGATAATACTCATTTTTGTCAACCTTTTTCTTGCTGCCAGTCCTTTATATATATGTATAATATAATTGAATGTCTCTAAACTAAAATGAACATCTTCACGTGACAACCGCGCGCAGAGTATACTTGAATATTTAAATAGCCGCCTGTATTTCTCCCCCCCATCTTTGAAAACAAATTTATTTATTTATTCATTTATTTATTTTTATTTTATTTTTGTTGGGGGGGGGGGCACCTTTAGGAAGTCTGAAAACCCTTATAATAATACTATAAAAACGAAATGAACCGACCAATTTCTTTAACCAGACTTGCCCATTTGCATTATTTTCAGTACAATCATTTTCCAGCCTTCCTCTCATCAAATTCTGTGAGCTTCTCCAACATCCAAAGCAGAATGGACTTCTTCCATTCTCAAACCCAACAAAAACAACAGTACTTGCCAAAACACAACAAGAAGAAGAGGCTGACAGAGGACCAAGTGAGGCTCCTAGAGAGAACCTTTACAACCAACAAGAAGCTCGAGCCTGAGCTCAAGGTTCAGCTTGCAAACCAGCTAGGGGTGCCGCCAAGACAAATTGCTATTTGGTACCAGAACAAGAGAGCGAGATGGAAGACACAGAGCCTAGAGCTTGATTATAACACACTCCAAGTGAGACTAGAGAATGCACTTGCCGATAGGCGGCGACTAGAAAGAGAGGTGGTGCGACTTCAAGAGGAGTTGTGGCAGGCTCAACAGATGGTGTTCTCTGTGAACCAAGAAACAGCAGCTCAACCTGCTGTTAATCTTTCTTGTAACTCATCTTGTGATGATAGAGGCAGCTCTAGCTTACATGAGGGAGTGAATGGTGAGGTCTTGCAGCTTGAAGAACTTTATGCTTGTTTGTATGGTGCTGGCGGTGGGGTTTGACAGAGGTGAAACAACTAGTGTCATATACCATATTTTACTGGTTCATCATAATCAATTGCTTGGCTTGGCATCATGGGTGTAGAAATTCTTCTTAAGTAGACCTAGTCCATGCGGTAGCTCACCAACAAATTAAGCATGAGACGTTCCACAGATTAATATGTATTGGAGTCTACAAGTAATTTGTTGTGAGTCTGATATTTATTAATTAGACCAGGTTTGTCTAGAGGTTCTTCTTTACTCAGTAGATATTTGAAGAAAAAGGATGCTTTTGCCTGATGGTGTCTTGAGTGGCCATTGATGTTAATTTCAAGCTTGTAGCAGTTGCAGTGTCATAGTTGATTGATTAGGAGGAGGACTGTGTTATATAGGTCAACTTGTCATGTAATGCCTAATTAAATGAACGGTTGGTCCTTAAACTTCCTACCAGCTAGCTCCCCTTCTACTAATTAAACGCTTTCAGCAAGTGGCACTTGTCTTCTTACACGGTCACTTCGATGAAATAGTAACGTATTCACTGCTTTCACTTTACATGCGATGTTGTCTTTAAAATAATTAACTTTTTTATTTTAAATTAGTTTTTATATTTATGTATCAATTTAATGTCTTCATATTATTAAGTAAGAAGTATCTTAAAAAATAAAATGATAATAAATAATTTCTTAATCATTATATTTGATACAAGATTAAAATGAAAATAAATTATTATAGGATTAATTGTTAAAGATATAATGATTTGTTTAATCATTTCTTGTGCATTTAATAAATTAAAGTGTAAATTGAAAATTCAAGAAGGTAGAAGTATATAATGCATTATATATGTACCACAAGGGAGAGATAAAAAAAAAATTGAGTATGTTCGTTATATATGTACCATAAGGGAGAGATAAAAAGAAAAGAGAGGTTCCAATCAGATTATATATTGTTAACATGATTACATTAGTCATCTTATTCAATTAATGCTAATACTTGTAAATCTCGTCAAGCATTCATGATTATAACTTATGTTAACAACAAATCAAGTTTCTTTCATAGCTCAGGTGTCGGTTATACCATACATTATGGGCTATGAAAGTGCCAAGCATTTGTTGTACCAAGTGTTATACAACATAAATCAAGATTAGTCATTTAACAAGCAAAGTATTAAAGAGTGAACAAGATAACAAATATAAAACATGTTAGTATCAAACATTAAAGTCCATATTAAGTTTACATTATACTTATTCTTACACCATTAGTGTAACCTTTTCACCTTGACATAACTAACTTAGCTAGACATAATGAAAGAAAGCAAAATAGATAAACAAAATAAGAACATAAATAATATAAAAGTTAACTAAGTAAATGAAAGGAAATGAAAGGCATAAACTTGATATTAATGAAAGCAAAGCATAAACATTACAAAAAATACAAAGAGAGAAAGCAAGAGCATGATCTTGATCTGGAAATCAAGATGCCTAAATACATAGTAAATATCTTTTTTTATAGGCCAAAATTAGAAACTATTGATTTGATGACTAATTGATGAGTGGGTGACCAACTCTTGACTTGGTGACAATCCTTATCTTCTTTTGTCTGCCTAAAACATCACTACTAACGTCAAAATTGGAGCCACTTGAAAACATGAAAGTTGTAGGAAATTGTCTCAGCTTTCTTGTGTAAACAATTCAGCTCATTTGGACTTCTAGAACTCCAGATATGGATCAAACACTGAACAATACTCGGGTGAAGACAGATTCGGGCTTCTTTGTTGTTGCTACAATTTGGACTTGAAAATGGTCTTTTTAGATCTTGGGCTCCATATGAAAGTTGTGTCTTACCTTTCCATCCATATAAAGTAGACCAAAATATGAGATCTACAACTCCAAATATGACCCAATTACCGAACAGTGTTCCAGTTTGGATTGCACCGACATCTCTTTTCTAAGTTTGGTCATCTCTTTGTCCTTTCAATTTCAGTTCTCAAATTCATCAATCAATCCTTTTATTTATGTGATAGGCTTGCATTTAAAATGAATATTTACCTCAAATTAAAGGTATCTTATATTATTAGATATATTATAAAACATGCTTTAGTTAAGAAGTTATTGATACTTCAAGTGCAAAATGATGATATAAAACCTTAATAAAAATGCACTTTTAAGTATTAATCAGTTTGCTTAACAATAAATGATTATTAAGAAAATATTATTTTTGGATTTTTTTTTTAATCTTGAAAGTACATATTTGGATTAACATTGTTATGTATTGTTACTGTGACAGTAACTTTCATTACCATGGATATATGTTGGTAAAAATTAAATTGGTTAGTATGTATAATTTAAAGTGATCAACATATTTTGCATTATCCCATAAAGAAACTAGCAGAATAAAGATAAGTTAAATTAAATAAGTACACAAATTTAGAATAAAATTCTTACTTGTTGATGAGTTTCAAACAAATTAATAAATAAAACAGAAAACATTTTTAATAAAATAGAAAACATTGTTGTCAAGATTATGGTATTTGTTTTTAAAGCTAGGTTTTTTTATATACTCAATCTAAAAAGTTTTAATGAAAATAATTTTGTATTTATGATACTAGAACCTGAAACTAGAATAAGACAATAGGAAAAAAGAAAAGAAAAACCAGAACAGATCTAAGCAGAGGCAACAAATTACACAAGTATTTGATACTGCTAAGTTCTGAGTGCTTCTGGATAGCCCGCAACATCTCGGACAAGGATTAAAACTGCTGCAGGAATTAATTATGTTAAGGTATTGTATGTTTTTGTATTTTAAAATTATTTAAAAAAAAATTAATTTTTTTATTTGTTTATTTGTTTTAAATTAATATTTTTAGATGTTTTTAAATTATTTTGATATATTAATATCAAAAATAATTTTTTTAAAATAAATAAATATTTTAAAAAATAATAGTAAATCCGCTTGCTTTTTTTAAAACAGGTATCAAATAGAATCAATTCCCACCGTTTTTAACACTATATATATATATATCTTTTCAATTTTAAATATTAAACGTTTTTTATTTTAAAAAATAGAAAGATAACTAACAGACGTGATTTCATGGGTTAGCCAAAAAAATAATAATTTATAGTACCAAAAAAACTATTTCACAATTAACTCGAATAGGCCTTTTAATTTTAAATATTTTTTAATACTATATATGTTATAAAATATATTATTTAATCCATTCAAATATAATCTCTTCGTGTAAATTATTTTCATTTAGGGTCCAAGGTTATCATAACAGTAATATTAAATTTTTTTATATAATAAACATGTAAACATTATTAATTGAATTTTATATGCATACACATAACAATAACAATAAATGTATTTAATTAAATAAATATACAAATTTAGAATAGAATAAACATTGTTGTCAAGGATTACTTTTAATCCATTGATTAATACCCACCTTTTATTTGTCAAAAAACAGATATAAGTATTTATTTATTTATTAAGTTATTTATTACAGTTTTATTTTATTTTTTATCTAAAAATTAAATATAATTTTATATGATAAAATTTAATAGATTAGAAATAAAAATCTAAAATATTGACTGATGTGAAAGCAAGGTGGTTTGTATAAGGTTATTTAAAAATATAGTAATAGTTGTTTTTTAAAATATTTTTTATTTTAAAATATATTAAAATAATATTTTTTATTTTTAAAAAATTATTTTTAATATTAGTAATGTAAAAACAAAAAAAATATTAATTTAAAAATAAAACAAAAAAAATTTAAATTTTCTAAAAAACATTTCCAAAATATAATGCAAAACATTAAATCTCTGTCATTCAATGTTAATCTTCGTTATTTTTGCGAGGTTAGAGAGGAAGGAGCGACAAGGGCACAGTTCTAAGCTACTTGAAAGTAATTTTTCAATTATGATTATTTTTTAAAATATTTTTTATTTAGAAATATATTAAAATATTAATTTTTTATTTTTTAAAAAATATTTTTAATATAATGCATTAAATTAATCTAAAAGTATGAATTTTTTAAAAAATATTTTTAATATCAATGCATTAAATTAATCTAAAAAATATTTTTTTAAAAAAAAAACAAACAGTATTTGGAGTTAATTAGTCACATCAACGAGCGGACTTGATTCAATCAAAGCTGTGGGGTTTTCTTTGACCATAAGAAAAATACTACTATTTTATTTTAAACTTGGACAAGCCAATGACTAGATTCCATCTAAAAAGGGCTACGATTTTTTGCTGCAGCTTTTGACATTTGGACTTGTCCCTAACGTGACTGCTGTACTCACTTCAGCCACTACTTTTATTTCAGACCTTAATCGAAAGTTTCTTTTCGTCTTTAAATAGAATTAAAAATTTTCATTTTTAATTATTTTAATATGATAATATTAAAAATATTTTTAAAAAATATTGTTTTACATTTTAAACCAAGAACTAAAACTCAATATATATTCTTTAATAAATTTTCATAATTACACAAATAACAACTTAAAAGTTCTCTGATATAGGATTTTTTAAAATAAATTTGTTAAACAATAATATAAATCATATCATGAAACCTCACTTCATAGCTTAAATCATATCATGGAACCTCATCTAACAATTTAAACTTTTAGGTTGAGATGGTTCTTTGGCATGGTATCAGAGTTTTGATGATCAAACGGTCATGAGTTTGAATCTCACTATCCCTATTTATTTAATAAAAATTAAGCATAAGATAAAGTGAATATAAATCATATTTTTGGACCTCACCTAACAACTTAAACTTTTAGGTTAAGATGGTTCTTTAACAAAATTAACATAGTTTTTATAGACAACTGCTATTTTTGAATAGTAGTCACCTGTTAAAATATTTTTTCTACACCAACATATTTGAAATAGCATATGTTTAGTGAATATTTTGAAAAATCATTCTTTTAAAAATTAATTAACATAAATAAAAGTTAACCAAAAATTCTATGAAAAACAATGCCTAAAAGATAGGATTAAAGATTCAATGGCTAAGAAAAACAAGGAAGATAAGATGATATGCTGGGAGAGGAAAATAAAGGGAAAAAAAATGGATCACTAATGATACATCAAAATTTTGTTTTTGATATACTCAATATCGTTACAAGAATCTTGACGAGATAATTCTAACTAAATATTGAAAATACTCTAAATAAAGTTGTAATTAATCTTAAATTAACTTTGAACAAAACCCTAACAAATTATGATCATATTCTATAGTCTTTTAATGTGTAGTTAGAATTATCTCGTTAAGATATTTCTAATAATATTTGGTGTGTTAAAAACAAAATTTTAGTGTATCTTCAATAACCCATTTTTTTTAACCATTGAATCTTAAATCTTGCTTTTTAGTCATTGAATCGTGTCACTTCCCCGTAACTTTTTATGAAACTTTACTAGAATTCTAAAATAATAAGTGTGCTTATTTTTAATTTTTAATATCTTTACATTAACATCATTTTAAATATCTAAAAAAATGTTAATTTAATATTTTTTAGGAGAAAATCATTTTAAAAAGCAAGTTGCAACAACAAAAAAAAAAAAAAAACACTCATGAAATTCAAAGCTGTCTCTTCAAGACCTGAAATAATCCAAAATTATTTACAGGAGGCCTCAGAATTCTCTCTTTTTATATAGCTGTTCAATGATCAATTCAATGCGATATTATTCAGGAAATGGAACACTAAAAAAAATTGTTCAATATCTGGTTGCATGAAGAACAGAAGGTGATGGCCATAGGAATATTGTTGGAAGAATGAATGCAGCTGGCTATCACCTTATAATTTATTCATATTTTGGTGTTCTTTGTTCTTCTATAATAAATAAGTTTTGACCTTTGCCAACCAATTTTGATCCGCAATATTATCGGATATAAAGAGGATCCAATGATTCCTCTTCATGATTTGAATTCATTTTGTAGTATTTCTTGATATCACAGCACAGTTACGTATTAAAATGATATATGATATAGGTTACTGATATAACAAATACTGGTTAATATGGAGTTTCCACCCTCTGGAATTATCTGACCACAACAGATCTGCCCTCATAAATACTTATTTTTCAAGCCGAAGTCCAGGACTATTGCCGTTAAACCATATTGTGGCAGAGATGAAAATTTGCCTTATTTCACATTAGCCAAAAAGTTAAGCAGTGTGCGCCCCGTGAAGCTACTGGGGTAAAACGAAGGAACACTTCATCAATTTCTGACACTGAAGCATTAGACTTGCATGCAATATTTAGACAGATGATTGTTCTGATTTTTGCTAATGGTGCTCAAGCCACTAATCATCTGCAGATTCCACAGTTTCTCAGCTCCACCATAAATGAAGGATGATGATATCTATTAGTTCAACGTTCCACCTTCCAATCGTCATTCTTTGAGATGGTCTCAAGTAGTCCATGAAGACTGGAACTAATCTGTCTGCAGCTGAAAATGGTGCTCCTTAATGGAGAAACCAAAGTTTAAATATACAACTCATAGATGCAACTTCACAAGAACAACAGAAACACATAAATATGAGTGTGTTTGCACGTGCACACATTACATATATGTAGATTTCTGTATGCAGTCGATCCAATGATAAAAGTGCTTCAACCTGTAGCTCCAATTTCTGATCTTGAGGGCTTAACAATAAAAACTACTCTCAAAAGATTTCTCACTGCATGAAAGGGACAGGCATATAATGAGCTAAAATCACAAAGCTTTTCATCAACTGAGTTGATACTGCATCAACCTGATCGCTTGTAGTGGATTCAAATAAATCATTCAGAGCTTGGTGAAATCAATGAGTATTTGGAGGGGGGAGGAACTCCACAGCAACTCTGTTTTAGCTCATAACAAAATCACTCTGATAGTTGATATGCTCTGTCAAAATCAGCTCGCTGGCACTCTGCATTTCAATGATATTACTGTCCTCAATCTCATAGATTTCAAGTTCTCTCAAACTTTCAATTTTGAGATGCAAAACAATCTATTCTATCATTAACACTTCAAAAGAAGGTGAGTGCAGATCGTTCAGATTGAAATTAAACTTATAGTAACATCCTTATAAGATGTGTGGCATAACACATCCAGAGAACCCCCTTCCAAGACTACGAATCCAGCAGTCTCGTTCTCCAACTACGCTCTGGGCAATACAAGAGAGGGAAAGCAGATTGAATTTAAGACATGTCATAGTCCACAGGCCTTGTCAGTCACAATCAAGATGAATCGAATATCACCACAACTAATAAAAGGGTATCTTTCTAACTTCAGAGGTAACGCTACTATGTATTTGACCAAATGATGAAGGGAAGAAAGGGGAAAGTTGGTGAATGGGATTTGAATTAAATTTCAAAAGAAAGCTGTAACGAGAAAGAAAGAGCAAACAACCACCATCCTCACAACAGTTGGTTCAAAGAATCCTATCCCGAAACAGAACAACTGCAAATTCTGACCTAATCACTGAGAATTTTGAAATATAAAGGCTTGATATAGAGTTCCAAAAACAAAAGCCACTGACCACACCACAGAAAAACCTAAAACCAAAATTACTTAACCGGCAAAATAAAAAATTAAAATTCAGCACTGCTATGAAGAGTGCCTCTATACACTACCGCAAGCAGCAGTTGCAGCATTCATTACCAAGTGACCTTCATGTTAAGACCAAGAAAAATTCTCAACCCTTTCATCTATTTAAAACGATTCTACCACATGACCACATTCTCTTCACCAAAACCACAGGAATTTCAGTACAGGCCAAAGCTTCTGAATAAAAGGAAAATAACATCATGAGCTATTAAGGATCCAACTATTTTATAACAAGAAACACAAACTACCTGAATCCCCTAATAATAATTAAAGTCTCAAAGAAAAAATAATATGCAATACCATTGACATCATAAAAAATAATCACTAAACAACAGAAATATAAAAACATAATCACTAAACAACAGAAATAAAAAAAAATTGCTGAAACTTCATGGAACCAACAATTATATAAACAAGAAAAAAAAATATCAAGACAGAGAAAGAGTGGACCTTGAATGTAGTCAGGTTTCTGAGAAGAAGAAGCAGAAGAACCCATAGATCGAACAGAAAAGGAGCTTCTCTTGTGCAGTTTAAAACAGCAAGAATCTAAGACAAAAGGGTTGGTTTTCGGAGCAATAACAAATTGGGTTTTTGAAGAAATGGATGTTAATGTTGCTGTCGAGCTTATACTACCATGACTTAAAGCCATCGCTAATGCTGACACCTTAAACAAAGCTGACAAACATGTTGTTCAAAATATGGTTGTGCTATAGAAGTAATCAAATGATGTTGTGATCATGAAAGGTTATGCTTTTCTCCAATTACTAACCGTAGATGCAGTTGTGACGATCAATGATTTGTTGATTATGGGGGGGCTTGATTCATAGGAATATTGTGCTCTTGGAAACACATGAATTTTACTGGGTGATACGTAGCTTGTTGACTTTGACCAGATGGAAAATGGAGGCTCTGTATTTGCCGCGTGGATAATGCCAATCTCTAGATTGGTTTTTCAGATGGGCTAACATCTCTACTAGGCCCACGTTTTAGCCCAACCACGTTCCTATACATTTGGGCTTTCAAATGTCCTGCTTTTTATCAGACCTCGGTTTTTGCGAATTCGATACTTTCATATTTCTTAGAATTGTGGTCTTTTCTTTCACCTTCTATTGTCTTTGCAAAGGAAGGGAAAGAACTCCTATTTGCATTTCCAACAAACAAAATCCTCTCTTAGTTCTTCTTTTGTTTATTTTTACCTTATTATATGTATGCTTTTAATTTTTTACGTGACTGATGAAGATTAGTGAAACTAGACCCATAATCTTTGCCTAGATTGTGATTGCTTTGTCTTCTCTTTATACAAATTGCAGGGTGGTGTGGCTAAATCAAACTTGACTGGGCTATATAAATGGAGGGGGTGTATGTCAAGGATCGTCTTTCAGGCAGTTTTGCCTGACTTCATTCTTCATCATATTCTGTCTCTCCTGCCCAGAAAAGATGCATTCCAAATGAATGTCTTGTCCAGAAGATGGAAATTTGTGCTTGATACTTATTCTAGTTTAGATTTTCGCTGGTGTGAATCTGGATAAAACATAATTTTAACTGATTTGGAACCTATGGATCTTTGGGTGACATTAATAGGTTCGTTTGTGGTGTGAAAAGTAAGCAGGACTTGCTCCACTAGGTTGATTAAACAAAATCCTCTCTTAGTTCTTCTTTTGTTTATTTTTACCTTATTATATGTATGCTTTTAATTTTTTACGTGACTGATGAAGATTAGTGAAACTAGACCCATAATCTTTGCCTAGATTGTGATTGCTTTGTCTTCTCTTTATACAAATTGCAGGGTGGTGTGGCTAAATCAAACTTGACTGGGCTATATAAATGGAGGGGGTGTATGTCAAGGATCGTCTTTCAGGCAGTTTTGCCTGACTTCATTCTTCATCATATTCTGTCTCTCCTGCCCAGAAAAGATGCATTCCAAATGAATGTCTTGTCCAGAAGATGGAAATTTGTGCTTGATACTTATTCTAGTTTAGATTTTCGCTGGTGTGAATCTGGATAAAACATAATTTTAACTGATTTGGAACCTATGGATCTTTGGGTGACATTAATAGGTTCGTTTGTGGTGTGAAAAGTAAGCAGGACTTGCTCCAACATTAGATTGATCGGGTATTGAATTTTATAATTTGTTTTAATTTATTTTTTATAGAGTTATTTCAGTCTCATGACTTAAATTGTAAATTTGACAGATTAATACAAGTTAAATTGGATTGTTTTTATGTATTTTTTTAATTGAAATTTTTTCTCAATTTCATTCTTTAGCATTAGGTTGATTGGGGGATTAAGTTTTATAATTTGTTTCAATTGATTTTTTATAAGGTTATTTTAGTCTCATGATATAAATTGTAAGTTTAACATGTTAACACAAGTTAACTTGGGTTTTTTTTATGTTATTTTTTAATTGATTTTTTTAATTTTATTTTTTTGATATCGTGTTGATTGAAAATAAAACTTCATAAATTGTTTTGATTTTATTTCTATTAGGGTTTTATGGTTTTATAATTAGGATTTACAAATTTGACAAATTAACTCGAGTCGATCCAATATACTCTCATCTCAATATTTTTTTAAAAATATCATCTTGAATTTTTTAATCCAATCTATATTTTTACCTGTTAACCAGATTGTCTTTAAAACTAGGGAGTCAATCAAATTATATTGAATCAGACATAATTGATTTTTTTTTCTAGTAAAAAACATTTGCAATATTTAAAATATTTTTTATGCATTAAAAAAAAGAAAAAAAGAAGATCCATCCACGAGGCAGTATGGATCAATCATCTAATTTCTCCTATTGTAATAAATGACACCCAGGGTATTCAATTATTTTTCTTCATACAGAACTCTACCTTTTCTCTGATATAATTTGGTCATATATGCATTTTATGCCACCATTGAAATACAAAGGTATCAGATCATTACTAGAGGGCTTGCAATCTTGCACTCCAAGTTATGACTCTGTTCGTTTTGTCAGCAGCAATTTCAAACGTGCAGGCTCTCTTTTTTGGGTCCAAACTTAGTCATTCAAAAGCCCGTGATTAAGTCCACAACAATACTTGCAACAGATCCAAGAACGGCCCGTTTACATGGGTCCAATTCTCTAGTAAGGAAAGCCCATGTTCACAATATACAGTCCAAAGCAAGGACAGCCCAGCTTAATACAGAAGGAAACTAATGAACTTTTAGCTGCGCAGCAACACAGTAGCAGATCTCACACTCCGAAGAGATAAGGAAATGTTGTTGAATATATTTGTACTTGAGTGGAATATTATTTATTTGCCCGAACTGATTCCTACTGAAATGTGAGAGCGTGATTGGATACAGTTAAAAAAACACTACATTGATTAATCAGATCAAAACTTTTTTAACCAGTAAATTTTTTTTAAGAAATAATTATATTTTTAAAAATTTAAAAAATTTAAAAACCAGTTTAAATCTTGATTAATTAAATAATATAATAAAAATATAACTCAATATTATATTATTAAACAAATTAAATGATGGTATTAATAAAAAACAATAATAAGATTTTAATCTTTATTAACTTTTCAAAGTGTTGCTTGAATTATCCAATGAAAAGCGTTATATATAAAAAAAAAATAAGGGTTAAGATTACACAAAAAAAAATATACAAAAAAATCAAAATAAAAAATATCAATAAAAAAAATAATAGTTAAAATCACAAAAAAAATATCAAAGAGCAACAACAAATTTTTAATTTGAGAATTAAATTAAAAATAATAAAATCATTAACTAAAGGATAAAAAAAAAACCAAAAAATAAAACACTATAATCTTGGATTGGAGTGTAAAATTAAAAATAATGAAACCTTTTATAAAAAATTATAAAAATAAGGATAAAATTTAAAACATCAAAACATAATAAAAAAATTTAAATATGCATAATTTTTCAACGTATTTTTTTACATTAAATAGTTTCTAGATGTAAATTAAAAAATTTATGCACATATTTAACTAAACAAATTAATAACATTATATAAAGAAATAAAAAAAAATCATTAACATTAAAAAGAAACAAAATTAAAAAAAATTAAGAGACATATATAGATTAATATATTTAATATCATAACACGAATAATTTACCTGATTATATTTAATAAATTTATTTTTAAAAAATAAATTATAATAAAAATAAAAAATATCAAAATTAGTAAAATTACAAACTAGAAAACATAATTATTTTTTAGAAGGATTAATGTGAATTTGAAGTACATTAAAGAGAAATGATAGAAAAAAGAAAAAAAAACTTCATCGTAGCCCAACTAAACCTTCTTTGTAAGCACATATCATATCATCGGAAAGAGGACTATTCACTGCTCCTAATGTTGCCGTTAATGGAGGATCTTGGTAATAAGATAGACCTGCACAAGCCACCTGAATGGCGCGGGTGTTAGTAATTTTTTTTTAAATAATATTGAATTACTAAAAATTACTAAATAACCCATAACTAAATCCAAAAAAATTAAAGTAAAAAGACTAAAATACTCTTCAATTCAATATTATTATTTTAGATTCCAAGGGTATTTCAGCAAGTTAACTGTGTAAAAAAATTAAAAAAATTAAAGAAATCTCTTTGTGCATATTCATTTTTTATTTTCTAAAGATATAACCGTAACTTAATTGTGATTTTTTTTTTTTTAAGATCAAGAGCCTCACGAAAGCATGATATATTTTTTTTTTGCATGGAAAAGATAATTCTACCTCCAATTCATGGCTTCATCAGTTCCTTTATCAAGAATAAAAATATAATTTCATTGTTGCAACGAGTAAGAAGTGTCTATGGCGATAGTATTGTACTTATGCCGTGTAGAACAGACATTTCTAACGCCAAAGCAGTACTCCACCGACAGCTAAGGTTTTCTGAGTTGCGTAATCTTCTGACTGTAGACTCGAGGGAACTCTGAACTCTCATTTCCGCCCCCGTCTCTCTAACGCCAAAGCACAACAAATTCCGTGTAAGTTCTTCTCCTCTTCCCTTTTAATACCATTTGTTTACATTTGTCTCTTTTGTTGTGCATATTTTTATTTTTGTGAACTCTAATGGTATAGCTGTTTGTTTTCAACAATCCCATTTTGCATTTTCTTGTAAAACTTTTCACAGCTTCAAAACATATTTGCACAATGCTCTCCTAGCAATACGAATTGCAAGTATAATACTATATAGTTGCAAATTTCAATCTGAAGTTTTGGTTTTGTGTGAATTGTTTCTGTTTTGATAATCCTAGCAGTAACTCCACCTTTCCCCTTTTATTTTAATAGCCCAGAAGTTCATATTTTGAGTTCTGATTTGTTTCTGTCTTATTTGTATGTTTTTATTCTGTTCCTGGTTATGATTGCTTTGTCTTCAACACGCTGATTAGTAGGTCACATCACTATATAAGTCCTTACTGAAATGTTCTCTTAGCACAGATTGCAGGGTGCAGTAGCAAAATAAAAACTGGCTTTGGCTTTTCTGGTAAATCTCACTAGCCGTATCATTCTCACTATATAAGTCCTTAGTGGTGGGGATTTATCCCATGGATCATATTTCGCGTTTTCCTGATGGTGTTCTTCATCATTTTCTGTCTTTCCTCCCCACAAAAGATGCACTTCGAACTAGTATCCTATCCAAAAGGTGGAAACCTGTGCTTGACACTTATCCCATTTTCGATTTCAGTTGGGGTGACTGCGCAGGACAAAGTAGTGATGCTATGTATAGTGAGAATGCTTCTGATGAATATCGCCAAATGCTAACAAAATTCATGAATTATGTGGATACGTCAATTTTCAGATTCTGCAAGTACAAGCTTAGCATGCAGAAGTTTAAACTTTTTCTTGTCCTCCCTGATCTGGAGTTGTCTTCTCATTTGGACAAATGGGTACAGAAGGTTATTGAAAATGGTGTCAAAGAGGTTGATTTTGGCTTTGATTTACCTGGTTATTTACACTTTAAAAAACGCTACAATATGCCTGATGCTATTTTTGCTGCTAAATCAGTCTTTGTTTTGAAATTATTCGGTTGTAATGTGAAGCTCGAGGAGTCATTCTGCATAAAGCTGCATTCTCTTCAGAAGCTTGCACTCAAGGAAGTCCAAATGGATGATCATTTGCTTAGAAGAATTGTCACATGCTGTCCATTAATTGAGGATATATCTCTAAGATTTTGTTGGGGTTTTAAAAAAATTCAGGTTTTCGAGCTTCTCAGGCTTAAGAAGTTTGAAATCTACTCTCACTTATCTAAGCCTGAGAGTGTTGAGATCAAATCACCAAGTCTTGAAAGTTTCCATTGCTCATTTACAGTAAGATCAGTGAAACCTATTGTTAGCGTGGATGCTTGTCAAGGACTCAAAAGTTTAATCCTATCTGGTTCTTTTGTCACAGAACTTCCATTACAAGATTTGGTTCCAAAGTTTCATGTCCTAGAGAGTTTGAGAGTTGGTGACTGCCCGGTATTGAAAAAGGTGAAAATTTGAAGTTGGAACCTGAAGAGTTTGGAAATTCATTCTTGCGAGAATATAATGGATATTGAGATCAATACTCCAAATTTACTTTCATGCAAGTACTGTGGTTCTGTTGTACCGGTTTCATTGAAAAATGCTCCATCTTGTCATTGGCAAGTTGAATTTAGCCTGATGAACACCCTTGACATTCTTTGGTATATGACACTGAAAGAATTTCTTGCAAAGTTCAATCAGCTTGTATATCTACACGTATATGTATATCTTACAACGATCATGGTACGTATAGCAATTCAAGTTACATCGTATGCTTTTGTATATGCTTATTTGGAGATTCTTGTCATATATATGAACTACTTGATGCATTTTCTCTTTAAGTTCTGGTGGACCTTTACATATGCTTCTTCAGATATATCGTGATATATGTACATTTACATTGTGAATTTAGAGTTCACTTAATTTGGAAGACTTGAGCAACAATGCCTCTCCATATGTGGTCGACAATGTGGTCCTAACAGTACATTCTGCATCTCCGATAATGACTGACGCTAATTGTATAGATGGTTTGTTCTTCTTTTCTCGTCCCAAAAACTTGTTTACAAGATCCACTGATGAGCAAAAGAGATATGTAGAGGTATGTGAGTTGTGCTACTTGCCTAATGGTGATGCTTGTGTCACTTTCATTTTTGATGGATCTTGGTAAGTTCTGATGTACTAATTTGCTTGAGTGACAGTATCTTTGTGGGTTAATTTCGAAAAGAGCTCTATCATGCTGCAACCATAGGAAAGCCAAAATGTTGGCGACATGACCTAAAAGAAGTGAAGCTTGGGAGCTTTGTAGATAGTGCAGATGGGATGGTCGATTACAACAGAATGACCTCGAGTTTCTTTTGGCTGGTAAAAGGCCACACTCATTGTAAAATGGAATGGAAATTGTAGTACATGCTTAGGATTAGCAGTGAAGCCTGCATTCTGCTCCTTATCTTTTCCCTAATCTGTTATATTCTAATGTGTGAGATTCTTGTTCTTATTAGTAACCACATTTGTGTGGTTTTGCCTAGAGCTATTGACTATCATGAATTTTGATTTCTTATGTATGAGTTGCATGATGGATCGATGATTTGGAAGGCCTACATATTTTGGTAGCTGTCCCTGTTAGCAAGATTGGAAGGAGCAACAGTGCAATACTGTGTCATGTAAAACTTGATAAGCATGAGGGTGGAGCAGATTCTATCTGTCAGATAACCTGTAAGCATGAGGATTTCCGCACTTATCATTTCATCGGAATTTTGAATAACCCATACGCTCTTGTTCTAGTTCATTCTCTCTTTTACTGGAGCTTCCTGCGTACCAGTTAACAGATCTTTCCTTTCTTCTTACATATATTTGGATTAGGTATATATAACTACATATGATAATTTTTTATGAACTTACATTTCTAGTTCTGTTTGGATAACTTGGGTTGCCTTCCATGCTTGCTGGTGTTTTCATGCAGATCAGAAGTGTAATTTCTTCAGCAAGATGGTTTCTTATGGCAAGGTGACGTGGGGTGATGGCAATATGCCTTACTATTGTGACTCCATTGCATTTCCATGGTGAATAATGTTCGGTAGATACTAATTTCAATTTCAAAGTTAATCTTTAACGCAAGAGAAGAAATCGCCTGTGTTAATAATGCATGTTTGGAAGTCATGAATTTTAGAAAGATATTTATGTTTAATAAAATAAATGAAAAAAATATAAATTAATAAATTGAAAATATTGTTAACACTAATTAAATACTAAATTGAAAAACTAATCTTCATAGTAAAAATAAAAAAATCTCCACATGCAAATATTTTTATCATGATTGTTCTTTTTTTGTTTCATATATTCTAAATATAATGAGTAGGTAGTGGCTCAGGCTTTTGAGAATGCTTAAGTGACAATAGTTTTAAAAGAAGTAAGAATAATTCGAGTCTCTAATCATTGGCTTACTAGGTTTAATAAGTTGAAATAATTTAATAATATAATTAAAATAAAGAAATAACAATAATCAACTAAAAAAATAAATGTTTGCCAATATTACAAAAAGACTTCCTCCTAATATTTTTAAAAAGTTTTCATAATTTTATTTGATAACGAAACAAAAATTAAATGAGAATGTGATAATTTTATAAAAAATAAATAAAAAAATAATATGAAGTTCAATTCCTAGCAAATTAAATGTTGAAAGATAAATTTAAAAAAAAAAGGATCAAATTCAAAAAGAACAAAAAATCTCAACTCAAGTTCATTTGAGTTAGCATGTCAAATTCGCAATTTGTTTATGAAACCAAAATAACCCCTTAAAAAGCAAATAAATAAACATTGAAGCTCAATTCTTAAACAACTTAATTTTGAAGTGAGAAATCAAAGAAAAAACAACAAAAAAAACTTAGGTTAACCCACCAAGCTCGTAATCTTAGATATGAGGTCAAAATAATCTCATAGATAAAAAAAAAAAGTGAAAAAAATTATGAAGTTCAATCATCAATCAAATATTTAAGGATGAAATTGAAAAAAAAATAATTTAAAAAAAAACCTAAAAATCAACTCAGGCTAATATTTGAAACCTATGACTCGGGTCACGACTATAAGACTAACCCAAAAAAATCATCAAGCAAAATTTCTTATCAACAAAATGCTAAGATATAAAATTGGAAAAAACAATTCAATCAAAAATGGATCCATAACAAAACAAATAGGACAAAAAAATAAGGATAAAATTTAATATAAAAATAAAATAAATCCAAATGATAGGGATAAAATTGAAAAACAATCAATAAAAAAAGATTTTTTTAAAAATAAATATGAATAAAAAAATAAGGACTAGATTGATACAAAAATAAAATAACAAGACACCTTTTAATTTTTACAAATTAGCACACTTCCCGAGAAGATGAAAGTAAAAAAACAAAAAAGCCTTCATAACTCTAACATTTTGAAGAGTTTGGTGTATCGCTTTCAATATCATTATGAAAGTCAACATTTAGCCATCAAGGAAAGTCGCATGTGTTATCAAAACACAATAGACTTCCCCTATCCATATGCATATGCATTGGACGCACTAACTAGTTTACCTCACATGTTTACCCTTGTCATTATACTTGTTTTAGTATCAATTTTGGTATCTTAACACTTAATTGTTCTAAATCATCTTAATCTTATTTTATTTTTCAAATCCAAGCATCAACCAAGCAAAAGTTTTCCTTAATATTGTAAAAACTAATATAAAGACAATTACTAAAATAAACTACCGATTTAAACCCTAAATAAAATTAATATAAATAGATTCAATAAAAAAAAGGAGTTAAGGGATTGAGATTAAAAAAATGGACATGAACTTTTTTCAAACTGTGCAAATTAGTCTGTGAAGTTGGCAAAAAAAAGACTAAATATTTCTTTAAGCTTCTAATTTGATCTTTGTAGCTCTAATTATTTTAAATTAATAATATTTTATTTTTTAAATTAAAAATTAACCAATTTACAAAATATTTTCTTGATACCTTAAGATTCTTATGTCCATGCATGCAAAAAAAAAGAAACTACCAGGACTAAATACAAATCAAAGCAATTTTAGAGGAATAAATAAAAAGACAGAAATTGAGATAAAAAGGCAGAAATACCATTTGAATGAAGAGATAGTGTTTATATATATATATATATATATATATAGTGAAATACCGAGTCTTTTTAGGTTTTTGTTAATTGTCCTATATGTAATAATATGCAAGTTATTTTGTTCTTTTGCTTGGATAGAGAAAATGCTCAAATGGATATGAACGTGAACTAGGGCTCAACATGAGGCTTTAAGCCCATAAGAATTAACGAAAAATGTGGTAGATCATCGTTGGGATATATATATATATATATATTGAGTCGCTGTTCTTGGAATGGGGTTGTTAAAGCTAGGCTGTCTTATCTTTTAAATTCTTGAGAGGCGTTTTATGGTCTAATCACATGACATCCATTCAATTGCACACGTGCCAAGTACTTCATATGACCGTACTTCATCATTTTTAATTTATTCATATAAAATATTCCATCCCTCACTCCAAAAGTGTTCGCGACGGTTTGAAATGTTGTTTGGTAAAAAAAATATATTTTTTTTAATTTTTGGATTATTTTTATATATTAATATCAAAAATAAAAAAATATTATTTTTATAAGTTTTTAAATAAAAATTATTTTAAAAAAACATCCGATAAAAACCTGAGTTCACTTGGAGGAGGTTAAGAGCCCGCACACCGGTCTACTCATAGCTTATCTCTCCAATATTCATTAAAGCTTTCATTTTGCTATGCATTGGACCTATCCCGTGTCTGTATCAAAGCTTTGAACAAATATTCAAGCAAAATCACAACAATGGTTATTTGAGAGGGGAAAAACAGAGCAATGGACCATGCTGGTCTGCACATCTCGTCTTCTTTCTTTCGAAAGTCGGTTAAGGTCATGCAAGACAGCAGCAGTAACTTCTGGACGACAGCAACAAGTGACCACAAGTGGGCATTTTGGTCCCCGTCCTAACAACGTATGGGTGCAGTCAGGAATTGCAGCCACACTCTCATGGTCCCTCTGGCTAAAGCCATGCCTTGACTGGTAGCGTACTGTGTACTTTTATACGATGTCATTGTCAATGAGCACGGTCACTGCCACTCGGTTTCAGGTCACCACACATGCAGGCCATATTACCGCACGTCTCAATTCTGTCGAGCTACAAAGACAAATAATAAAGGGTAATATATAGTTTGCCAGGGAAATAACGCATCTCGTGATGCAGATAACTCTACGTAGAGACCATCTCCACCTTGTTATTCAAACCCACCGTACGGGTAATTGTGAAAGGGAAAAATCTAGGCTTCATATCCATATCCACGTCGGTTTTTTATCCCAGTTTCTTTTATATTGTGCACTGTATGTTTATTTTTGTATTTTAATTATTTTTTTAATTTTTTTGTTTCAAATTAATATTTTTTTATATTTTCAAGTTATCTATTAATATAAAAAATAATTAATATTATTTTAATATACTTTGAAACAATTTTTTTAAAATCAATCATAATCACACTTCTAAAAACCTTAATCTTAATCTTAAAGACATGAAGTTGCCAAAGAAGCATTAGCCCGGTGATCATTGAGCACACAAGGATCAAAACTAAACTCAAATCTCCCTATTAAAATTAATATCAAAAATATTTTTTTAATATTATTTTAACATGCTTTGGAGCAATTTTTGTTTTAAATCAGTCGTAATCACATTTTTAAAAACTTTAATCTTAAAAATATAAAGTTGCCAAAAAAGCATTAGCCCGGTGATCATTGAGCACACAAGGATCAAAACTAAACTCAAATCTCCCTGGTAAGATTAAGCCTGTAGTAATTCTGCTACACAACTAAGAACTCTCAAAGGCACTTGGCGTGATGCGAGTTTCAATTGCACTTGAATTAGATGCATGAGAAGAATAAAACTCTAGTTAATGACCAGAGTATTGTGTAATGCGTGGGAAGGGAATAATTATGTTGATAAATATTGTTAGAAGAGACTGATCACATGACAGCATTTTGTATGAAACTTAACATCTTATATCAAGTGATTCCGACAGGATTCTTAGTTGGAAAATCAAAACGATTTAGTAATAAAATTGATAAAAAAAAAAAATAGTTTGGATCCAAAACTGATAATACCCTAAATAATTTGATAGTATATTTGATGTTTGAGCAAAAATGAATCAAAATACAAGCACTGTTAACGTACTATGAATCACCAAAAAAGAAAGAAAGAGAATTTGGAAACTACGTTTAGAAGATCTGAGCAATTATGTACAGTCCCCTCAAGTGCTTCAGAGTGTGGCGCCCCGGGCATGTGAGAAGTTTCCTCTGTCTTTCCCAGTTTCCCTTCTGTGAAAGGTCGTGTTCATGCAATTAAAACGAAAAGGGTGACGGTCGCTGAAAAATGCAACCCTATAACATGGCGAATTAAATATTCATAAAATGACCATTCAAAC